CCAAGAGAGGTGGAACGTGACCTGAACTAGGACCCGTCACCTGGGGTACCCAACTGGGATAGCCTATAGGGTTCTTCAACCTCTGTTGGTTCATTTCGTGACATTTTGTGACCACCCCTGAGATCCCAGTGGCGGGTCGGTCGCTGAAAAAAAACCACACGAGGGAGGTCACAGGCAGAGACTAAAGAGGTCACGTACGGCTCAGGTCCCGGTGTATACCAGGCTCAGGATGTTTCCCTAGGGCTCCAACCATCTCCTCAGAAGGTGGTTAGACCCCCAAAACCCACCCCAACCACCTTCTCAGGAGATGGTTGGAGCCCTAGGGATATATTAGCCGGTCTATGTTCCCTGTGGGGATCATGTTGGTGAGCGTTAATGGAAAAAGAAACGTGGCGTTTGATGTTTTTCTTTACGAAGTTGTGAGGATCCCCTTTTTTTCCTGCACGGCTTTCGTTGTTGGAAGCAAGGAACGCCCGAAAGTCTGGGGTTTCTGCACGGTACTTTGGAGGTGTTTTTTGTTTAAAGGAGATTCCAAATAATTAGAGTAGCATAGATTCCAGGTAGTGTAGAATATAGTAGCCACGTAACCGTGTCTTTGTTCCCGGTGGGCCTCGTCTCCGCCAGACTCGTCTCCGCCGACGTAAAACCACGTGCCATCCCAGGAGCGGGAGCCTCTTCGGCGGCCATGCCACGTGGCCGACACGACCTGTACTGGGCCTGTTGAGTGACTCCCGAAGACTCCCGATCCGTTGGAGTGGTTGATTTGGATGGTTTGGGTGACCGGGTGGTATAGAAGATAGGAGGCTTTTGGGCCGGGCTTCATCGATGCCCAAACGATGTTGTTTTGGATGGAAGATGGGCCATTCATTCCCTCAAACCACCGCCCAGTGGTGACAAATATGTGCTACTGCGTACGGTATGTTTTCATTATGGATGCCATACATGGAGTGTTGGGGCTAGAGGGCGTATGGCATTTGCGCATGATGATTCAACCTGGTCAGCCGTGTTGGCTGTGTTGGGCAATGTGAGTGATATCATCATGCTCACCTTCACGTCGGTCACATGTGGCCAGGGTGGCAGCTCAAGAAGTCAACGGTTCCCTTCCCAGAATTGCTTAGACGGGGAGCATCTACAGGAAACATCAGGAAACACAAAAAAAGTTTGGCGGATGAACATTTTCCATGTAGATGTTTACTTCCCCCAATTCTGGGACTCAATATGACTCAATGCTCGTGTTCTTCAACTCATAGCCACTTCACGTCACAGCCATGAGATTTCCAGGCCAAACCCCGAACCTTTGAATCGCACGATCGCACGATCGCAGCGGTCCTACGGGCTCAAGGGAGGGACCCCGGCGGTTGGACCGTTGGACGAGGCAGGATCCTGCCGGGGTCGACCGGAGACGAGCGGGTGATGTTGGGGGGTTCCGGAACTGGGTGTTTCACCAGGTGAAATGATACCAGGACCCTCCATTGGGGTGTCTATTTGATTCTATTTGTATAGCCCCTTGGCTGTTAAGGGGTGTCCATTAACCATTTTTTGGGAGGGTACTGGTACTGTATATAGTTCCTATAGTTCCTGGGAGCCACATTTCCAAGGGGTAGGTCACGACGTGTTAGAGATTTACCCTCCGCACTTGTAAGGGGCGGGCGGCGGAGGTGTTTTTCACTGGAGCTGCTCGAAAACAGAGAAAACCCGTGGAAGTGTCACGGCTGCAAACAAAGCCAGAGCCCCTGCATCATCCCTGAATCCGGTGCCAAATGCATGAT